CATGACTGTACTGTCAATTCAGGCAAAAAGAATTAATTCTGAAATGGCTAGATTACATCATCAAGCAATGTGCACCAGGAACACAGTTGTATAGTGTTACAATTAAAAATACAATTGATACCCTAATTTCTGGAATGGGAAAAAAATTTTGACAGGTGTCCCACCTACCCTCTGATATAAACCCCTTCATGGTTGACAGATCAAAGGTCTCAGCTCCTCTGCTGACTTCCTGTAGAAATGAATACAAATAATAAAATACAAATATATAATACATAATACGTAGATGCATACATAGTATGAAGAACACTACATGGTGTATTCTGTATCACTGGAAGGATCAAGAGTAATGTGAAATATACCACTGTTTTGTATTAATCTAATGTCATACCTACCCCCCCCTCCCAAAGAAAAACACATTTCATTTTCAATGCAAAATGCGCAAAAACTTGCTGTCACAAAAATTGTAACAACATCAGTAATTCATACTTCCGAATCCGGCACAGTTTTGAAACCTGCACACTTGGCACATGTGAAACTTACTACTATGTGAATTATTCTATGGAACTTTTTGGAAGCATGAGTGATGTATGTTACAACCCATGTGATATTGCTAGAATATGAAATGAAATTTTACACTCAAAAGGCAAATGAAATTTTACATTCTTAAGGTAATCATGATACACAAAATAATGTTTGATATACAATTATTACATCAAACTGTATTTTCAAACAAATAACATTTGTTTCCTTTGTAAGTGCCATATTCATATTCACAAATTGTGTACTTCCCAAGTTGTATTTTGGATGATGCAATGAAATTTGTCAATTTTGTGAAGCCTGCATGTTGATAGTTCTAGATAGGTTCACCTCTCAAGGCCAGGTTCTTAGAACACAAACGACCTAGCTAGCATACAGCCTACACTGTACTTCGGAAGTCTCACAACATATACACATAGAATCACCTGGACATTTAGTCTCACTGGACAAAGTAAGAATCTTGGACACAGAACCATCTACATCAGGACATTACAACCATCCCTCAACAGAGACGGGGGGCGCCACAGACTTTCTGCAACCTATGATCCACGGAATCATGTGTGTTACCTGTGTGAAGTCACGGAAGTGGTGGATTGCTCATTCCTTGACAAAGACTGGAGTTGTACAGTCGAAAATTTGGTTGAGTCCAATTTGTTGTGTTGGAAATTACAGTTTAAACTTGCTTCATAATGATTTCTACCAACACAAGATGAGGCTCACCTCTCCTTGTGTCACTACTTTGTTGATGACCATCTTGTCGTCCTGAATGACGATGAAGGTTTTTCGATCCAACGGGTGATCAGCAAGCTGCAGGGCATTATTGGTATTGTCAGGAAGAACCAAAACTATTCAGGTGCAAATACTAGTGTCCAGGCATACTTCTAACACCAAACTCGTTAAAGGCATCCAATTTCTGGGTGGCAAAACAAAAAATATTCTGGATGAGGAAATCTGTCTTATATTGACATTTACTGCCATTTCTTACAACCATTTTATACATGTAATTGAAACGGTAGAATTTTATGTTTAGTTCAAAAATAAGCTATGTGAAGCATCTCTTTATTTTTTGGGTACCACCCATAAATAGCTAGAACCAGCCTACAAAACAAGCAACTGTTTTCCGTCAACAACATCGGATTGTTGCCCCAGTAATAATTGCTTAGAAAAATGACAAGGAAGGTGACTTTGAAAATCCAGTTTTTCACCGCCCAGAAATTTGGAATAATGCCTTTAAAACATAAACCTGTGGCACAGAATATGCAGAATGCCTGTTTTTGTAATAGGGTAGGACGGTAGGTTATGGATTGAGCCATATATGTTTTTGAAAAAGTTAACCAAAATCTTTTTTTTTTTACAAATTTGTCACAAAGTATATGTTTTCACTGTTCCACATGACTTCTATATTGGGTATGACCATGCTTGCTTCAATTACTCAAAGGCTAAAAAAAAATATACTGTCACTATAATGATTGCTTATTCAATGTATATTACACTTTATAGTGTGGCAGAACTCTAAGATCTAAGTGACATTAAATCAATAACAGATGCACTTACTTTGACATACTCATGGTGCTGTTGTTCCAAAGTCTCCAGCTTTGGTGAGACATAAGCTGGTAAACACAGAGCAAACAATACAGATCAGCAACAAAACAAGGCATACACATACTGACATAGCAGTAACTACTCTGATGTCCCGATTAAACGTACCGGTACGTTTACTAGTATTTTTTTCGGCCCGAACGTCCACCCGGTACATTCTTATTAGGGACGGTACGTTTATTAATTTTTGGGAAAAAAATTGTCCGTACGTACCGCACCATCAGCAAGTGGCCGGCGCCCGCAAAATTCGGCAACACGTCACAGATAAATATTTGGTCCATGATAGCGGCATTTCCCATGAATATAATGTATATTATTTATTTTTCGCCTGCTGTCCATTTTTAAGTCCCAAAACGTTTGAAAAGGCAAAAATTTGCCCACAAAACCGAAGGGGAAGGCGAGTAGCTAAATCGACGTAAATAATATAGCATGCGCACATGGCCGCCGCAAGTCCTTGTCAAAATCGGCAACGCGGCAGAAAAATGCCTGGTCCATTTTAGCGATATTTACCATTAAAAAAACGTATGTGGTTTATTTTCCCTCTGGTGTTAGTTTTTAGGTCCCGAAACCCCTAAAAAAGTAGAAATTTGCCCACAAGACGGACGGCCGACGTGGGGAGGGCGCCTAGCGCCTGAGCAGCATGACCCGTAAAAAGTCAAAGGTCATAGTGCATCCATATTGCGCAATCACCATAAAAGCGCCGATTTAGCTAATTTTAGGGCGTTTAAAATTGATACAATCACATTATCGATTTTTAAAAACACAATGAGATGGAAACCAATCAAAATTTTATGCTGAATAATATTTTTTTCTTCAAAAGTTTTTTTCTTCAGAAGTTTTTCTTCAGAATCCAGACTTTGACCAGACTAGACAATGTACCATACCAAATAATTATTATGTTGAAATGGATTTTGTTGTAGATATACTCATTAAACCCCTGTATTTGTACTTAATTGGGCTTGATTTTCTATCTCTTAAGTTAGTCAGATTTTCAACTCAAGTTGCAGGAGAAGGCTTAGCAAAGTGCATTTCAGAAGTGTAAAATACAATAGCTTCTCCTACGGATTTTGTATTTCCCCAAAACAAGTACAATATATATATACTCATTAATTAAAGTGATATATACTCACTAATTAAATGTAACAGTGAAAGATTTGCCAATATATTGGTATTGAAATAAAGAGCACATTTTAGTATCAAAGACACACAGATCACCTGTCAATTTGGTCATTTTCCGGGGGGTACGTTTATTCGGTTCATACCCTATGTTACGACAGCCCTATGTTACGACAGCCCTATGTTACGACAGCCCTATGTTACGACAGCCCTATGTTACGACAGCCCTATGTTACGACAGCCCTATGTTACGACAGCTATTGTTATTGTTATATGCTGACGAACAATTGATGTCGGCGCCTTTCGCATACGTTAATCTCATTAAAGCCCGTTTTTCAAGTTTCCATCCGGTAAAACGTATCCAAAAATATTTCTCCTCGAACAAAATCATTTCGGATTTGAAAATTCTCTTTTGGGAGTTACGTTTTTGATGGTCTTGTAGCGGGCGGGTTGCATGAAAATCCGAGCCGCAGTTCGCTATCCACGCCGCGGTTCGCTAACACTTCCGGCTTGCTTGAATACGCGAAAGGCACCACTCAATATGGATACATACATTTTCCCAAAAATTCTTAATAATGAATTTCTTTAATGGAATGTTAGTGGTAGAAACACCGTAGAAAGTAGCGTAGTGTAACTCTCTTCGCCAACAAACTGCAGCTCTGCAAAGATGGCTCTATCCAATCAGAGCGCAGGTCATATGAGGTCAACGAATCAGAGCGTAGAGTTCACGCTGCTACTTACATATTAGCATTATATTAATGAGAAAATGCGCGTATTTTCTTCTACGGCGAGGTAGCGAATGTGTGCTGCAAGTTATTTTCCAGCGATTTTCTGACTTTTAACGCCGATTTTTCGCACGCTACGATCACGCTACCATTTGACACTGTACTGGAGACAAGAGATCATTTTACAACCAAGGAGCACTTTTGTTGAATAAAACAGCAATGAAAGCTACGATACAGCCAAGTTATTTTCAAAATTTGTCTCGTGTATGAGAGATAAGATGACGCTTCTTTACAGCGGAAATGTTGCTAGTACGGAAGAAGTACGAACGAAGCAAGGCTCTTCACTATTAAAATCCGGCTATCGCAGGCGCTACTGGAGGTTACAATTAAATGCTGCCGATGTTCGGAGTCTTGCAGCAGAATGTCCTAATTAAGTATTACTGGCGATACGTTTGCCATTTGTAGCAGTTTTTTTTTTTAATGTCAACACTTGTAAAAAAAATGTGGAATGCTTGTGGACAGTTTCAACTTGTTAACAAGTGTAAACAAATGCCCCGCCCCCTCAGTTAATTTTCGCGACGTGTTCCCTTAGTTAATTAATTTTCGCGACCCGGCCCTTCCCAACTGGACGGCCTCTGAAGATCTCTGCTGCAGTTTGGCGGAAACACTGTCAGTGACAATTTATTACGTGAAAATTTTCTTCGAGATCATTACACTCCATACATTTACAATTTATCATTTGGTGTCTGAACATAGCCATAATCACGTTGAAAAAAGGGGGCGTCAAAACATAGGGCTGTCGTAATATAGGGCTGTCGTAACATAGGGCTGTCGTAACATAGGGCTGTCGTAACATAGGGCTGTCGTAACATAGGGCTGTCGTAACATAGGGCCGACCCCGTTTATTCCGGAGGGTATGTTTATTAGACTTTGACGATTTGTCCGGGGGGTATGTTTATTCCGGGGGGTATGTTTATTAGGGTCATGAGAGTACACATATATCATATGTAGCACGAACTTCACATACGTGTAGCAGTAACTTAAACTACACATATGTAACGTTAGCTGGAAACACTACTTAGTATGTTCAACTATTGTACTAACTATATAGTCATGTAAGTCCTGGAGGAAAAGGGCATAGTATAAGAACATGTGGATTGCTGTGTATATTTATGTACATGCAGTGTGCAAATACCTCCAGGTTGCCCAGTTGCCCCGGGCAACCAAATTTTACTTGGGGCAACCTACTTTTGAACCAAGGTAGCCCAGTGTGCTACCTGAATTTTAAGAATGCCCCCCCCCCCCAAAATGACACTTGGCTTGCACCACTGTATCCAGCAGATATCAATTTTAGGTATTAATGGCTATTACTAGTATCAGTTAACTCAAAAGGCTGTTAGAAATATTGTCATTTTTAGGCTTATGTATGTAACATTACTTAATTTGAGGAAAGTAGTAACTTATAGGTGGGGCAACCTAAAATTCAGATGGGCAACCTAATTTTTGCCACTGGGCAACCTGGTTCAAAAAAGTATTTTGTACACTGATATGTGTGAATATGTATTTGTGTACATGTGTGTAAGGTACAATGTATGTATATGTGACAGTGTATATAATTCATGTATAGTCCTGCCTCCTGGTTGCTAACAAGTCTTGGCAAAATGGGATGTTTGGAAGACTGGAATAAGGAAATAAAAAATTGTCATAAAATTAAATGTCTAATTTCAAATTAAGAATAAAGGCAATGGTTTCTGAACAGTTTTTAGTATGATCTACTCATAGGATAAACTTCTCATAATCTGAGTGGTACAGTAAAAATTTATCTTGTGCAGGTAATTTCAATGTTGTCTGCACTAGTATAAGGGGGCCCGCATGCCCTTTTCCGTAGAGCGTAATCGGCCATTCTAATTCTACGTGGAGCGTAGACAGACCGTTCTAATTCTGCACATTTTGCGTAGAGCGTATTTGCCGTTTTAAATTTACGTAATGCGTTGTAGCCACTTGGAATTTATCGTAGAGCATAATCTAGAGGTTTTCTGAATTCTGCGTAATACGTAGCCAGCTCTAAAAATTTAGCGTATCTAGAGCGTTGTCGGGACCCATGCAGGCCCCCATATAAGTATGAAGAATAAAGGATTTCGAGCCCTACATATATGCCTTTTCATGTTGTATGCCTGGTTAAATCTCACCTGTGATGGAGGTTCCACATGGCACGTTATCTATGGCTCCATGACTGTTGGCGTGCACCAGGTAGGCATCCTCACCCTTGTACTTGGCATACTGGATACTGACTGTAAACTCTCCCAGCTCCTTCCCAGTGTCTGATGTGGTCACCAGCGAGTCTACAAATGTGGCCAGGGACAGGTCCTCTGGCTCTGCAGGCAAGATGGGTTCACTATTAATCAGTAATATTTCACAAACTAATGTGAAAGAACATAGTATATACATACATTTTGACTGTCTAGCCAGGTCAAATGGATCTTGAAGAGTTTGATGTGCTTTTCCTGCATGAATTGAAATACAGGTCGAGTTTACGACTCAGTGTCCGACCTGTTTTGCGGACCGATTCTAGCAGCGTTGAATTCAATATGGCTGCCGATCGCCGAGGATTTGTATGGAGTTACGTGCTCCGAGGCCGTGTTGTGGTTAAATGCTGTGTTAGTTTTAGAGCTTAATCCCCCCGGCCCGGCAGGTGAGTGCGTCGGAAAGCCAGGGACACCAAAAATCCAGGGCCGGCCCGTTGCATAAGGCCCGGCACGGCAAAGGTTGAATCTGGCTTATGGAGTGCCCCACGACTCTGTATCCGGCATTATCATGCAAAAAGCATTACCAGAGTCGTCCACGGCTAACAGGAATAGTCTACAGGAACAGTACTAACCTATATAGTCTACAGGAACAGTACTAACCTATATTCTACAGGAACAGTACTAACCTATAGTCTACAGGAACAGTACTAACCTATAGTCTACAGGAACAGTACTAACCTATATTCTGCAGGAACTGGATGGTGTCCTGGCTTGGCTGGACAGTCGTACCATTCATCCTGACATCAGCATGCGCACTGTTGAAAGAATGAATTTAACATTCATTCAAAGTATAAACAGCTTGTTGAGTTATGTTAGTAGATAGTAGTAGATAGTAGATCCTTTCAGCCAGGTAGGTATCCATCCAGTTTAGGCTGCTCGTTGCTCTACCGGACTGTCATTCCCGGCCTATGCGGGCAATCCAGGGCCGTGTGATTGTACATAATTGGATGACTCTCCATGTATTTATCAAGTCTGTTCTTGAAGGCATTTACCGAGGGTGCAGAGACCACTTCTTCAGGAAGACTGTTCCACCAGTTGGCCATTCTGCTTGTAAAGAATAATGCCCTTGTATTCCCCTTGAAGGTCTTCCTTGTTATTCTCAAGCTATGACCTCTTGTCCTTGAATCTGCTTTTTGTTGGAACAGGTTCTGTGTGTCAAACAGACCATGCAAGTATTTGTACGTGTTGATTAGGTCTCCCCTAATTCTCCTGTAGACCAATGTTGGGAGTTTCAGAGCTCTGAGTCTATCCTCGTAAGAAAGGTTGCTCAACCCCGGAACTCTTTTTGTGGCCCTTTTTTGGACTTTCTCTAATTCAAGCATCAGATTCTGTCTGTACGGAGACCAAACAGAGGCTCCATATTCTAAATGTGGCCTAATCAGGGCTTTAAAAAGCAGGAGAAATACTTCTTGATCGATAAACTGAAATGTTCTCCACAGTAGTCCTGTTAACTGGTTTGCCTTGTTTGCAATTGTGTGTATATGGTCCTTAAATGTAAGGTCTTTATCCGTTAGTATACCCAGGTCCTTCTCCGTAGTCGTTGCTGCTAGGGGGATACTCCCAGATGTGCCTGCCATTGTGTATTCATAAACTGGGTGCCCCTTTCCAATTCGAAGGACTGTGCATTTTTCCGGATGGAATTTTAGTTGCCATTTCATGGCCCATTCTTGAAGATTTTGTAAGTCCTGTTGAAGACTTTCACAGTCCCCCTTCTGTACCACTGCTCTGAATATTTTAGTATCATCTGCAAAAAGCCTCAACATACTTGTTGCAACTTCAGGCATATCGTTGACGAACAACGTAAAGAGAACAGGACCGAGAACACTCCCTTGAGGGACTCCACTCACTACGTCTGCCCATTCTGATTTACTATTGTTCACACAGACTCTCTGTTTTCTTCCCTGCAGAAAAGAACTGATCCATTGAAGAATATTCCCTTTATATCCGTAACTCTCAATTTTGGCTAACAATCTCTTGATCGGTACAGAGTCAAATGCTTTTCTAAAGTCCAAATAGATGGCATCCACTGGATACCCCTGGTCAAGCCAATCAGTCCAAACCTCTAGGCATTCCAACATCTGTGTTGTGGTCGATCTACCCGGCAAAAAACCGTGTTGGCATGAAGTAAAAAGGTCATTTGTTTTCATATGATCCAGTAGCCTGTCCCTCACAAATCCTTCCAGCAGTTTACCAGGTACAGACGTAAGGCTCACAGGCCGATAATTGCTTGGTGTTTTCTTACATCCTTTTTTATAAATGGGATGTTGAAGTTACAGAAAACCCTAACCATCATCATCATTGTTGACAGTTACTCTACAAGCAGAGGTTGGATGGGAGTATAATTTGCATTGTAACTGTTATTTCCATTCAGTATTTCTGGCCGAAGAGATCGGTTACTGGTACAGGAATCAAGGATGCCCTCCCCCAACACACATGTACAGAAGACCTATACGTACCTTGACAACAGTATGGTCCTTTTTCACAGACTTTCACAGACAGAAAAAAGACCTTCGAGTCAACACATTGATATGTTTGAAATCAACGTTGTTTAACGATTGGCGGCTGTCAATAAAGAGAAAGATTCCGTCAGTCGGAGACACAGTGTAACCATGGGAACTACCCTGGGTACGAGGAATAAAGGTCAGAGGTCAGTAAGTGCGGGATAAACAATCTCGTGTCCAGGGCTGTTTATCTTAGTTGTTGATATTTTTAGATAGGATTGTTGTTTTACAGGGGATTTCTCTCACATTCTATAGGGTTTAAGTATTCTTTTATTTGATAGCTGACAGAAGAGGAAAAAGTGTACCTTTTATTATTAAAACCGTCCACAAGGATACAAAGACGAGAAGTAAACAAGTCAGGCGGTCTCGGACCGACGTTCACAAAATCCGCGACTAAGTAGGAGTATTTTGGTATATGAACTTCGCATGGGTTTACCGTAAAATAGTATAAGGTACATGATATGCGGCAAACATTTTACTTATTCATTGCATAAAATATAGGAATCCTTTTATATCAGATACAGAACATGAATTTCAGGTATGACTGTCGTGTGACGTCAAGGACATTAACCACCAACTTCCCATGAAACCCCAGCAGAGCCTCATTTGCCGTCACAGGAAGTCCTTTGATAAAGATGGTAAATTCCAGACTAGCAGACGGCCTTGGACTGGACTTGTGATGTTTTAATTACTTTGTTGGCTGATATCAAGGTTTGGGACAGTACTGGATGTGTAAAAGGGCTGAAAAATTATGTCAGAATGTACGACAAGGCGTCTGAATTAGTTTATTTGTTGCCGTCCTTGTGACATTTTCAATTTTGTAACAGGAGGTTTAACGTTACATCTCACCTTGTACCCTGAGGGGTATTATGAGACCGCTCCAAGGTTGTGTAGGGAGGACGTCCATATGTCAACTTCAAGTTCAACTCAGTCCTTCCGCCTGTGCCGTGAAACAACTCTCCAGAAGTCTTCAGATGAAGTCCATGCCGTGACAAGTTAAACTCCACCACAATTGATAGGTAAATTGTTAATTTTTCTTATCATTTATTAACGTTACATATGTAATAAACCCTGGAAGAGGTATTCCTACCTGATCGAATTGAACTACTACTACTGTCTACTTAACTATTCATAAAGAAGGGAGTAGAGTAGAGTAGCATCTACGGCCAGGTAGGACGTCAGTTAAGTTGCCAATTATTCTATTAATTTTTATTACATTAACGTTAACGATAACTTAAACGTTAATAACTTTATAGCACAACATAATTGTGTTTATGGGAGCTGACAGAGTACCATGAATATATGCATTATATATGCCTGGACTCAACAACATTAAACCCCATTACTATGTACCGGTAGTATAAATACACAGACATGTAAACATGCAAGTTCATGATCAGTTGGTGGTACAGTACACAGCCCCAGCACAAGGTGAAGCTAAGGATCAGGGCTTGGAATTAAAGGTTGCCACTGACCTCTACAATTTAGGCTGGGACAACTAAAAAGACACTTGGGACATTTTGGGACAATAGAAAAAAATAATAAGCACCAGAATGTCAGCCATTCATTTATTTATCAGGCACATGTCCCAGCTTTTGTTATAGTTTTGGGTCCAGAAAATTCCCCCCGAATTTTGTGTCTACTCTGCAATTATAGTGCACCTGGGAGTGAACATTAGCAAAATTAAATTGCCTTCAATTTGAAGTCATACAATACAGGTTGGGACAGTTCATCCTCACTTTGGGACATCTGAAATTCATTTTTGGGACAGTACTGGGACAATAGGAAGAAAAGTTGATTTCGAGGCATTAGGATACCATACTAATTATAGATCTGTGTTCAGGGATTATATCACCTGGCATGGGCTTCTCTTTTAATTTGGCCAAGATAAATATTTGTTTTGAGTGTATTGAGGAGCCAGTTTATAGTGACACATGAAATGGCCTGGGAGTACATGTAGGTTTTATTTCAACATCTTTTTATTTTCTTCTTAATAATAGGGTCTTGAAGTATGGAGCAACAAATAGAACAACTGTTGACTTGTCCGGTGTGTCTGGACCGTTACAAGAAGCCAAAGATCCTGCCCTGTCAGCACACCTTCTGTCAGGAGCCCTGTCTGCAGCAGTTAGCAGACCCAGTCCGCCGGAAGGTCAAATGCCCGGAATGCCGAGCCGTGCACAACATACCTCCCAAAGGGATTTCTGGTTTCCCCAACAACATCACGATTCTCAAGTTTCTGGACCTGCCCGCTGACGCTACGTTTAGCTCAGGGTCGGAGACTTGCCAGGTCTGTAGGAGAATTACAGCCATTTCAAAATGTTTTCATTGTCCAAAGAGATTGTGTGAAACCTGCAGGAAGGCACATACTAGCCAACTAAAGACAGACATCGGACACCAGACAAGTCAACTCTGGAGAGAGCTACCTAAGTTGTCTGAAGCTGTCAATCTTGTGGAAAAGACGGCGACCCACATTAAACAGAGTGGGGAGATGGTGAAGCTGGATATCAAAAGTTCTATAGATCAAAACATTCGCAAGCTGAGAGAGCGGGAACAGATCCTGTTGAATGAGGTGGACTTATTCCTGCAGTCAGAGCTACGCTTATTGAAAGTGAAACAGGAGAACCTTGAAGTGGAGGTGGCGAGCATCGCGAGTCATTGTGACTCAGCGGAGTCAAGAATCAGCCAAGCCAGTCCAAGTGGCGTCGCTGTCACTGATGCAGAACTACTCAGCCTGCACAAGCAAGGGAAGGAGTATCTGGTGCAGCTACAGAACACTACCATTGACGCTGCAGTAGACGACTGCAAGACGATCAAATTCACCCTTCAGAACAGTCAAACCTTACATTCCAACATCGCCACGTTAGGCGAGCTGTCGTCATCAGCCTTCATCATTAATGCAAACACTGTAAACCCAAACTCTGTGAACAGTTCATCAAACCCACCCCCCAGGAATCCCAGACTGTCCCTGTCAAATGAAGCGTTTCGAGGTTTGCCAGTAGTGGAGATGTTCCGGACCTCGTCCCAGCTCCGGACATCCCCCTCTGTTGTGAGACAGTCTCCTTCAGTTACAGGGAGTGTCTCGCCCCAGCAGGCTTCTCCACGCCCCAACCCCGTCCATCCTAACAGTAACAGTAACAGTAACAGTAACACTGTTGGGAGAGTTTCCCACATCTCCACAGTGGGGAGAACTGAACAGAACAGAGCCAGACCTGGTAACAGCTCACTCGAGTTCACCAGTTATGAGGTCCCGTTGGATGACTTGGTATCAGATTTCTCTCACGTTCAGAGGAGAAGCCCTACGTCGGCGTTCTATCGCTCAAAAGGGTTGATCCAGACCAAGTTTGGATCTAAGGGCAGTGACCTGGGGCACTTCACCTGGCCGCGGGGGGTGGCCGTGTCTCCTGAGAACTACATCATCGTGGCCGACAGCAGCAACCATAGAGTTCAGGTCAGTACTAGTAGTTACCAGTGGTGAAATACTGTTTTCAATGTCACAATATTGTTCTGCAATTTTGAAATACTTTTTACACTTTTAAGTCCTGACTCAAACCCATACAAAAATTCCTTGTCCACGACTCAAATCCATACAAAAATGCATGTTGGAAAACATTTTACATGCAATTTTACATGCATTTTTTTCTGAAACAACAGCCAGAAGTGAATGAAAACACCCTTTTTCTTAAGAAAGTATCAGTTAAGAGTTTTGTGGAGGTAGTAGTAATGTATTTGAAAAAGAACTTAAACAACAAGTAACCTCAGCGTGTGCACCTGTTCTTTGTACTGAACACCATTCACCCACGAGAAAAAAGACCCGTCCTTCGTACTGAACACCATCCACACACAAGAAAACAGACCTGTCCTTGGTACTGAACACCATCCACACACAAGAAAACAGACCTGTCCTTGGTACTGAACATCATTCACACACAAGAAAACAGACCTGTCCTTGGTACTGAACACCATCCACACACAAGAAAACAGACCTGTCCTTGGTACTGAACATCATTCACACACAAGAAAACAGACCTGTCCTTGGTACTGAACACCATCCACACACAAGAAAACAGACCTGTCCTTGGTACTGAACACCATCCACACAAGAAAACAGACCTGTCCTTGGTACTAAACACTGTCCACCCACAGGAAAACAGACCTGTCCTTGGTACTGAACACCACCCACCCACAAGAAAACAGACCTGTCCTTGGTACTAAACACCATCCACCCACAAGAAAACAGACCTGTCCTTGGTACTAAACACCATCCACCCACAAGAAAACAGACCTGTCCTTGGTACTAAACACCATCCACCCACAAGAAAACAGACCTGTCCTTGGTACTGAATACCATCCACCCACAAGAAAACAGACCTGTCCTATCCTCAGACAAGTAGACCTGTTCCTAGTGCTGAACACCATCCACCCACACAAACATACACACAGAAATATGCCAGGGGAGTTTGTCTTATAAAAAGTACAGTTTGCTCTTTTACATTGTTATCTGTCTATTTGACCAGTTTCTACTCTTCCCAGCCGCTTCTCGAAGCCCGTTAGAGGCTTGGTTTGACAAGTGTGAAGTGGAGATGCTCACTGGAAAGAATATCCTTCCATGTGTGTAACTTCTGTTCTTCAGGTGTTCACCCCCAGTGGACAGCTGGTGCGAGTGTTTGGATCGTACGGGACAGGAGAGGGAGAGTTTGACTGTCTGGCTGGTGTCACTGTCAACTCACAGGTCATTACCATTTATGATTCTACCTTAGCACTCCTTCGAATACCGGTACAATAGCTCAATTGGTAGAGTGCTCGCTTTGTAACCAGAAAGTCATGAGTTCAAACCCCGACTGGGTCATACCAAAGACTTCAGAAATGGTACACACTTCATTCTCTGCTTAGTACTCAGCACATATGAGAAAGAGTGTGGTAAGGTCAAACACACAGCACTACCAGCGGACTAGCCCCCTGCTGTAGTGCCTTGCACAACTGTGTGTCACCCAAGGGCTACAGAAATGGATATGGGCACCACCCTACACTCTACATAAGGGCACGGGAGACCTTTCTTTCTTTCCTTTCTTAGTACACCACTGCTCTTGATGACATTAGCAACTGTCTCATTATTTGTAAAGAGGTTATATCATTAAAGAAATAACCTGCAAACAAGCATTTTTATCACTTAGTTGGTCCCAGTTTTTGTGCTGTGAAAACAGCAAAATAGTATACAATACAGTTAAAGTAAATCTTGCATGAGGACACTTTTATTTTCAATGTCAATGTTAGAAAACTCGTTTTTCACTCAGGTGTCACACCATGGAGCTAGAAAAGGTTGATCAGCTCGAAAAATTATGTCCCTTGCAGGGGTCCACCCCCCAAAAAAAGACTAGGGACTCGGCAGGTTTTTCTAGGGTCGGTTGGGAAACAGGAAACACAACTTTTTTCCCTAGGCCTGATCCAGTACTAAGTGTAATCCCTAATCAATGCTAACATTACAATCTCCTTGACAGACTGATTCTAAGTTTTGTCTTACATTGTTTTATACATCTATTTAATCTGTGGCAGGCAGAACATCAATAGATACCGATTATGCAAATGATGACCTAATTTATGTAATGTGGAAATTCTGTGACTCCTTATTCGTGAATGATGTAAATTTTATACCTTGTGACATGTGTAAGTTACTTAAAGGTTAACACCATTGTGCAAATATTATGTTAATTTAGAGTGTCATTTGCATAATCAACGGTGGAGCAGGCAGATTGTGCCTGCAGGTACATATATTATATATTACAATATTTGTATTATACTTGCAGGACTATCCCAATAATGTCCGAAATTTACGGTAATATGATGAATGTGGCTTGCGCCGTAATTGCAAAGTTCTGCTTTAAACTTGCCATGTGTAGTGTAAGCCATAATAATTGGATGATGTACGTCTGCAGGGCTCCAAATTCATTTTTGGGAATAGGTGCACCCAACCTAAAAAATTAGGTGCACAAAAAAAATTTGGATGCACCATATACAACAAAATCTAATTACAGATCTTACTGCTCCTATTTTAAGCTTGAATCTGAAATGGGAGCTAACTTCAAAATACACTACAACAAAGATTTTTTAAATCATTTTTCTGACACTCAGATGCCAAGAATATCCTGTATACTTTTATACATTTAATATGTACAAAACTACCTACCAAAATATTTGGGTGCACCAGTGCACCTACAGAAAAAAACTGGGTGCACAGCTCCAATTTTGGGTGCAGTAAGGTGCACATGCACCCAGTATTTTGAGCTCTGGTCTGTATCCAATTAACAGGTCTTTTAGAATTAGTATAATTTGACTGTATGAATTAATTAATTGCATGGATGTCAAAGAACACACGAGATGAACTTTATCAATTACAAGGTACATTGTATATTGAACTTAAATAAACCATCAAGCATACAGAGATTTCCCTATTTAATACCTTCCAGCTGCAGTCTACTGCTGCACATTAGTATGTAGTGGGATCTTTTACATATACATGACATTATTTTAATTGTAGTTAATATTTGACAAAAACATATAGCTAAACATTATTCGACCAGTTTTCCTTATCATCTTAAATTTAATTATGCATACGGTAAAAGAAATAGCCAATATCAAATTTGATATGTGTATGGTTTAAATTATATATCACATTTCTTTGCTTTTTTGGACTAACAGATTTGCCAATCCCGGACTGCTCAAATTCTGGCATGACTCAGTTACTCGTTGTGAAATGAACACAAGCATTGTTCTTACAGTTTCCCTGTTGTAACAAGTCCGTGTGAACACATACATTGTTCTTACATCTTCCTCGTTGTAGCAAGTCAATAAGAACACATGCATTGTTTTACAGTTTCCCAGTTGTAACAAGTTCATATGAACACAAACATTGTTCTTACAGTTTCCCCCGTTGTAAAAGTCCATATGAACACAAACATTGTTCTTACAGTTTCCCCGTTGTAAAAGTCCATATGAACACATACATTGTTCTTACATCTTCCTCGTTGTAGCAAGTCCATATGAACACATGCATTGTTTTACAGTTTCCCAGTTGTAACAAGTCCTTATGAACACATCCATTGTTCTTACAGTTTCCTCGCTGTAACAAGTCCATGTGAACACATGCATTGTTCTTACAGTTTCCTCCTTGTAGCAAGTCAATGTGAACACATAGCAGAGTTGTTCCTCCTTCAAAGTTGTTCTTACAGTTTCCCCGTTATAACAACTCCATATGAACACATATAACAGTGTTCTTACATTTTCCTTGTTGTAACAAGTCCATTATGAACACATGCATTGTTCTTACAGTTTCCCCGTTGTAAAAGTCCATATGAACACATGCGTTGTTCTTACAGTTTCCCCGTTGTAACAACTCCATATGAACACATGCGTTGTTCTTACAGTTTCCCCGTTGTAACAACTCCATATGAACACATCCATTGTTCTTACAGTTTCCCAGTTGTAAGAAATCCATTGTTCTTACAGTTTCCTTGTTGTAACAAGTCCATATGAACACAGTCATGCATTATTTTCACAGTTTCCCTGTTGTAACAAGTCAATGTAAATGCATACATTTTTCTAACGTACAGTTTCCCCGTTGTAACAGGTCCATGTGAACACATAAATTGTAGTGCCACATTGTTCTGTAGCAGGAGACAAAATTTCGTCAAGTGCATTCTCCCGTTTTTGTAATTATCCCTGCTTGGAATTATCCTGGAACCCATTGACTTATTCTGCAGTACCCTCTAAGTCCATTTCAAGGCAACAATAGATTAGGAGCATCGCTTCTAGTACTGACAATGGTATTACACTGGTGATTGGTTAATAGTAACATCAACGTTTTGTCAGAAATCTGCCAGCAAATAAGGTTTAAATGTTTGTCTTTGTTGTGTCATACACAATTCTATATTAAAAAATTTAAATACTATACAATTTATGTTAATTTAACCCAAATTGTTGTTATTTGTTCTCATACCTTCCAGTGTATTGCGAGTTTTTTTTAAAATGAGATTTCAACATATATCATGCTTGTGTCATTTTAGGGTAACGTTCCATTTCATTTTTAAGTTACATTATTTTATTTACAATGTAGAAGTGATGGTTCCAATGGTACGTTTTATCTACTCCTGTATATCTTGTCTTGAGTCTACTTTTGGTCATAATAATGGTGCCGGCGTTCGAGTATATGGAATTGTTAACAATTTATTAATTATAACATACCATATGTATGATTTTTACAGTGCTTGCCTTTGCCACACGTTCTTTACAGCTCTTTTACTGGTTACTAGTAGGAGCCTTGAAGCATGATGGTCAATGCCTCTTAGTCAGCAGAATTGGGATACTCTCGATCTTAATGTGATCTATGCACAAGTGCCAACATGCACCACAATATTGTCGGATACTGAGAACTGTCAATGTCTGCTTCCATGCAGTTGGAGACTGTAATGAGTTATATCCATACTTATAGAGAATCTTATTGAACTACTTTTTATAGTAAGAAACAAATCCTCAGCTCCTATTAGTATTTGTGCTTCTTTTTTTTTTCAAACTGCCAACTGGCCAAGAAAATATGTTAGGCAGACTAGATGTGCCTTGGTTGTAACAAAACCATGTCCTTTTAATTTACTCAAAGTTAGTCTTCCCCATTAAGTGGAAGATGTTTGTTTTTGGTCTGGATGAAGTACACTGTATTGGAGTTTATATCAAGATGCAATGATATTTAGCCGGTAGGTAGGTGGGTTAAAGTGTAGGATGACTTTGGGCCCCTGGTAATTGACCTTGAAATTGCAGTAGGAATTAAAAAAAAATATATTTGGCGCTTTAACGTGATGTTAAGGTGGCATATAGTTGTATTGATGAGAGTTTAGATGTGTAAAATGGGGCCCCTAGCAGTTTGTTTGGGACCTGCAGGGTCGTTTGAATTTTGATTTTCTTTGCGGCTGATGATCAAGAAGAACAGCTGAATGGATTGTGACTATGTAGTCATTGAGGGCCTTTGCGTTTTAGCAGCCTATGCTAGACCTGAAGTGTTTTTTTTTTATGTTTCACATTATACACCCCCTTCATAGTAAATAAAGGGTTTAGTCTGACATTTGCTTTGCAGGCCACTGGCCTATTTGGTTAATGTGTGTCTGCAGATTATATATCTTCCCTCTTATCACGCATGAATCCCAGACTTCCCCGTGTACTCACCATAGATGTGGTAAGTAGGGTATGAAACAGTAAAGATTTAGTGTCTGTGAGATTATTTTCAAATTAAAAGTTCTTGTGACACCAAAACGTGTTACGAGAAGCAACCCAAGATTGCATACAGTTGCTAAATATTACAATGTTTTCTTCTGAAAAAGCATGTTTCAGAAGCCGTGGTGCCAGATTCCAAACGGCTGTTTTCACTGCGATGCCATCAAAAGAATTTGTTTAATCATGTCGCGGCAGGTATAAAGAACTGGAAGTATGCTTTAGAAGGTCCAGTGTTGTGGGGTCGTGTGACGTAGCAGCAAAGTGCTCGACTCGGAACCAAGAGGTCCCGGATTCGAATCCTAACATGTCTTTGATCGTGTGACCTTGAAAAAGTTTCACACGATGTTCCTCACTTTACCCAGGGAAAATGAGTATTGCATTGTCCCGTGTTGGTGATGACATCAATAAAAGGCCACACCACCTTAATTTTATGAATGACATCCTCTGAAGACACCCAAACTAGTGTGCGCGGGC